TTTAATCGAGTTTAGAACAAATTTTACGAAGTTCTTCATCTCGAATTTCTTTTGTTCTGTGTTGAACATGGGTTCTGTTAAATTTACTCTAATTTTTTATCCATCCAGTCTCCATCGTCTCCATTTTTTATCCCCCTATAAACGAATAACCTTATCAATGACAACAGTAATAGCTATGAATCATTCATCGAATAATGTTTCAGAGGTACTATCTACTACACTTTTGTTAATGAAATTTAGAAAAGTATCGTTTGTATCCAATTCCAGGCTTAGTTATTGTCACATAATCTGTATGCATCTCTTAATGTTCTTTCCTATGCATGTTTAAATTAGATATTATTTTTATGTATATTAAATTTCTAAGTACTTTGTTTAAGTGTACCTGAAGTGTTTTCTATTATTTATATGTCAATGTACATTTTCTGTAAGAGTAAATTTCAAAGCAGTCTGTGTGAGAAAATTATAACGAGGTATAGCAAGACTGAAGCATATAATTTTAATTTATATTGAAAACAGACACAATATCCAACAACAACGTTTACTAAATTTGAAATATGAACAACGTTTACTAAATTTGTAAATATGTTTTCTCCTATTAAGTAAGATTAGTAAAACGTCTGTCTCTCGTGCCCTACAACCAACCTCATGACAGGAATTTCAGATGGATAGCATTTTAGGTGCCCTCATGATTCGAAGACACTATACATTTACGAACATTCATGGCATTTGCAGAATTCGAACCTGGGTTCTAACGTATGACAATAGGCTGTCCTGCTACTATGACAAAAGGGCAGCATTGCATGCATCTAGAAGTACATTAGGCTTAAAGAATACCTGAAGCATTAAATTTAAGTTAATGGGAGTAATATATTAGTAACAGCTTCTAATTTTTGTAATTAAGTGCGAGAATCACTGGTAGATAGTGCACGGATATGGGCCCTTTTTAAGATTTATGAGGATGTATCTTCAGAAAAACATCAATCAGCACATTAATTGCTTCTTCTTTTCTTTATGTACTTCTTTATTGCAAGCGTAGTGTTCTTCAGACTGTGTTCACCTGCCAGAGCCGAAAGCAATATACCTAACCGTAACCTACTGCTTATTGCTAGCTCGAGAAATAATAAAAATTCAATTTTCTGCTAAATGAACAATTGTTATCTAGAAAAAGCGTAATTCAAACATATCGAAAACAGGAGATTGTGTATGTAAAATGAAATGTAAAGTGTTGCTAATATGATATCTATCTGTGTTTTACAACCAGTAATATCATGTTTAATTCCCAACATAAAAGCTAATCAGCAGTTACCAGCTGAAATATTTTATCATTGTTCAATAAATTGCGTTTTATATTTTGAGTGTATCAACTGAAAATGCATCGTAACATTCAATAATTTCGAAAAATATGCTAATACAATTCAATAGCTTTCAACATTGCTAAAAGGCGCTTTGTAACCCTAAAGATTACTTCGTTGATAATATTTTTAGGATCATCCTTGACCGCAAACAAACAATGCGGTAGCATTCCTAGGATTTTGACGAGTTTTATGAGAATTGTTGACGAACTACAAAAGCTGTTTTGTATACGAAAAGCATTCTATGTGGAAACAGAGATTCCTATCTCTACTTTTACAAGCTAAAAAGAAATTAATTAGCAGTTTGTGTTCTGCTCCACTTACCGGATGTGTTTCTTACAGAATCTACGGTGCATGTCTGCACACACGTAGAAGACATTTCACATAACAAAGCTTCTTCTTACTAATCATCAACATGCATCGTCTCCTCTTCGTTAATGAAACTACGGTCGGTTAAGCGTCCAAGTTTTTATTTTAGAAATTAACTTTAGAATTAAATAAAAAAGGCGAATCTTTTAGTATTTGACAGCTTCCGTCTGTCCCAATGATCTCTATTTGCAAGGTCAAAATAGTGAATAACTTAACAGAACATTAACTGTCCTCAAAGAAGCCGACACAATGTTTTTCAGCAGAAATGAGAATAAGCGTACCAAATTGTTAATGACATTTTACTGAGAATAATGTCAAATATTTCAACTAGAAAATTTCGAAAAGTAGGACAAGGACATAGATTAATTCATACGTAATACTTTAAGGAAAAAAAAAGAAGCCAAGCATAAAAAATATTTTGTGTAATGAATTATTTGCTCCCTACATTAGGTGAAAGATAGAAAATAAGTCATATTTTTAACTATATATAAAAATGAATCTGTATGTATTAAGTAGTTTTTATTCTATAATAGTTTTTAATTGTATTAATGCTGAAATTATAAAAGGATTGACAGGTAGTCAGTCTGTAAGCATGATCATATATAAATTGCTGTGTCTAACCCAAAAATAATTATAATATAATTAAGATAACTTCCGATTTACTATCGTATTGCCTTTTGTCAGGATGTATCTCTTTACTTTTGGAAGTATAGAGACATTGTGCATATGCTTGTTTATTGCTCACATTCATACGAATAATTTTATATATTACATCGAAAAGTACATGCTTGATCGAATGATTCTTTACTAAATTATTTCTATTCTTTCTGAAATAGTTAAAAACTTATATATCTACACTAAAAATTTCTGTTAACGACGCTTTAATCTTACTATAACTAACTACTGTACAAAGGTTGGGCAAAATGGAAGAGTAAAACGTCGATTGTTTCGAAAAGAAATTATTTCTATAGCTACGAGCACTTATATCCCTGAATATAACTGTTGTGTCTACCATTTTCTGCCAAGTCAATGGATGGAGTCGTACACCATCAAAGCATCTATTTCCTTTGATTTTTCTGCAGTAAAGTCCCCCCCCCCATTAACACGAATAACCTTCTTTTTACTGTTTTAATGGATAACTCAGCAGTTATTTTATTTTGACAAAGAGGAAATAATAAGGATTCATACAGAATAAGTATAAAAGTTGTTCCAGTACCTCCCATTGCCCCGTCACGGGAAATACATGACATTCTCGTATTACAATAGCGCACATTTCCATGGAGAATGATGGCTTTCGTCATCTGAGATGCGTATCCTTTGCTTCTAACGCTCGGGAGAAATTGGTGTTTTTTTTTTTTTTTTTTTTTTTTTTTTTTTGTTGTTATGTGATATTTTTTCAATATCTCCAATGCCACCGTCACAAAAGATTCCTAACAGCGCCCGTTATGACACTGTACATTGTCATAGAGGAGGATGGGGTCCATCACCAACAAATGTCATCGTTTTCTTCTAAGTGCAAATGATGGCTCAGGTGACGAATTCTCTTTGATAATACGCGGTGTCATAATGCGAGAGGTGTCAGTGCAAACCGCCAGATCTCTTCCCCAGCGTGATCTCCATTAAAATTGGTATGAGTTAATTAACTTAATACATACAATCCACATAGCCCTTGGTGCTTTCATACAACTGGCTTGACCCCTTAGAATTCATTATCTGTTTAAATCTCTGGCAACGTTTATGTTTAAGTCTCCGTATTTACGTTTAAATGTTTAAATCTCTAGCTAAGTTTCTTCCCCGCTCTTTTTTTTTAAATTTCTTCAATGCTACTAAAGTGATCTTTAAAGTGAGCTTACACTTCCGAAAAAAGAAAGGTCTTTAAGATCTTTAGGAGCTAAATCTAGTGAAGAAGGGAGCTCGTTGAGATATCTCTACAAGAAACCACTTGACAAAAATAGAATTGTATGACTGTGCATTGTCAGAAATTAATTATTCGATTATGCTTTTGCAGGCCTAATGTGTTGAATTCTTTTCGGAAAACTGCCATTATGCATTCATAAAATCTGGAGTTCACGGTTGGTCTTTCATGAATAAGTTTTCTGTGAATTATCCGTTTTCTACCAAAAAGTCTCACCAGCTCTTAACTTGACATTTCTGAAATTGAAGTTGAGACAGCCGTAATGAACTTTCTCCAGAAAATAGCCCTTAGGCAGACAACTTTCAGAATCATAAGAAAACCACCAGTTTCATCTTCGGTCATATGTTAAAAAAATCTGCCATTTGGATCAATTCATAGCATGCAGAACTTTGATCTTATTTCTGCTTTGCACTCAATGCTTGAGAGAAAGAAGTGTTTTCTGTTTTTCAAGATGTTCTGCTTGAGCTTTGTGAGCGTTTTCTTTACTGTCATAATTTAGTCTTTAACTAAGCTCATCAACTGTGATTCAAAAGGAAAGGTGATAATTTTTCAGCAACAAATTACGAACTTTTTTTATGACGTTTTCGTTCGCTTGAGACTGCGAAGGACGATCACTCCTGATTTCAACATCAATATCTCCTCGTTCATCATGAAATCTGCCATACCATCGAAAGCAATACTAATAGATCCCTATACGCTTACATAACATTTCAAAGTCTCAGTTGCTGTTTTTTTCTGTACAGCAAATCTTTGTTGATTTTCTTTGCTCAGCTTTCGAAATCATGATAGCAGATATTGAATCAAAGTAAATGATTAACAGCACAGAAACGTTTGCTATAAGTAGACAACAACTTAGGAAAGGCAAATCGAGATATCTTAATAATAAATGTTGTCAATTATTATTTAACAGATTTCCTGAGATTGGTTTAAAATATTAGTCTTGTAACTCTGTCGATACTCTGTTTATTTTAGTTGAAAGAAACGTTTGTTATATGTAGATAACAACTTAGGAAAGGCAAGTAGAGATATTTTAATAATAAATGTTGTCAATTATCATTTAACAGATTTTCTGGGATTTGTTTAACATATCAATCTTGAAACTATGCGGATATTCTGCTTATTTTAGTTTTATTACTTTATTTTCAGTAGAAGTAATTAATGACTAATATTATTACTTTATATTCTGTAGAGGTAATGAATGACTAACAATAACAAAGTTCTGCAGGGACTTAGTAGTTTAATAAGCTTGATAAAATTGAGTAAAGTTAGGAATTTATAACTCATTAGCTTACTGTTTTTATCAGTTGCGTGTTGAGAAATGTAGCCTTTTTATCAGTTGAATTAGGAAATGAATATGCAGGAGATGAAGATAGTAAACAAATTTAATATTATATTGTCAAAGAAACGTTTTATGATGTATATCAATGCCACAAATATAATGTAATATATATAACGAGCTATATACAATATTTATAACTTCAGTTGTTTTCGAAGTCTTCTTCATCCAGTTTAGCGGATGAGGCGCCCTAAAAAGAGAAAAAAAAATGTAGGTTTTAATTAAACAATAATAACAAAATATTTCAGATATTCACAAATGAATCTTTTTTAGACTTTCAAAGCTTTTATTGATTTCGGAATTAAAAATTATCGCTACAAATAACCAGTCAAAACTCTTTTACAGCAAACATACCACAAACCGTCCCATTGGGGACTTCCAGGGAGTCGTATTATCAAACGATAACTGTATATTGCCGCAAACGATTTTTTTACGTTATTGAATTCATGGATAAAAAAAGAATTTATACAGTAACTCTGCAAACATATTTAAAGACGTAATCTTTCTTCTATAAGATCTTAGATCTTGGCTTGTATAAAGACAAATCCCGGCTGTCTCTAAAGGTATTTATTAATAGAGCACCGAAACAGTTACATATACATATCTGAGGTTATGTTAGCTCAGTTACAAACAGTTACAAGACAATGCACACCAAAAAGGAACACCTAACATTTAGAATTAACGTTTGAGGCCGGGAGACATAATATTGGAGAACCTATCCTCATCGCAGCTGGAGATCGACTGCCGTAAACTACTCACGTCGCGACTAGATGGCACTCGATAAAATAGTTCGGTTATAACCAACTAGTTATGTTACAATGAGAGAAAATTATCAGCAAATAAATTTATTGATGTATTAAAAATTATTTAATAAAATTCTGCTTTGAAATCTTTATTATTGCCAATGCATGATATCTTTCCAAAAATCCATTTGCTTCATAGAACATGCTTCCTTCCGTCCTTTTTTTTTTCTATTTTTTTCTTAAATTTCTTAAAATATGAATATTCTTTGTGTTTCAAATATTATATATTTTATTTTTTCCGGTAAATTTCTTACATATGTTTAAAGTTTAATTAACCTCATGCTAAGTGATCTTGCCTGAATTTTCTTTCAAAACTTTTTACACGCATTTAGTAAAGAAAAGAATAAAAAACGATATTCAAATGTAAAGTTTAAGACAAAGGTGAAAATGGCGAAAAGACGCAAAACGCATACCCAGTCTTACCATATACTATAGAATGAAATGATAAAAATGCCATCTTACGGCAGGGATCTCAGCGAAGGGATGCAGGCTTATTAAGCATACCGAGTTGTTGGATACCGGTTGGATACTTGAGCAGAAGGTAATCATTTACAGTAAATTGTACATTTGTATTAAACCTCAGGCAATCAATAAGATGCTTCAATACATCTCTGAAAACATGTTTGTTGTTTTGTTTGTTGAAGATGTTTTATTTATGAGAGGTCCATAAGTTAAGAGGATTACCAGCCAGTTAAGGGATACAATTAAAATATCAGTACAAATCAGAATTAAAAAATAAAGTAATGTTAAAATATGAAAAATCTGTATTTGTTAGAATATATAGAAGTGATATTTATTCGTTTACTTTCATTTCTTTCAGCAGCGTGCAATATGTTTGTAGGAAGCTTTCAAGTTTATATGCTGAAATTTATCATATTTATTTCGAAACTTGATTGCATTAAGTGGATCAAGAAGGCTATGCTAGGTAATAATAAAGTAACGAAGTTTCTACATACAAAGGTGCTCATAAAAAAACCTTTTGGTATGTATGAATCTGCTCATCCAATCGAAATGAAATTTAAAATATTGTTGTTTTAAGGTATGCGGTCAAGATCGTGATGATTTTAATCAACAGAGCTCTCACAGTTACGGTTACAGCGAAAAGATTTCGAAATTTTTGAATGGTAAAACATACTTTTTTTCCTATGTAAATTCATCAGCGCACTAGAAAACCATAATGGAGCTAGAAAGATACAAGTATGACGAAAATTGTTGGCGTAAAACTCTTGCAAAGAAGAGTAAAGGGCCAATGACAACACAGAGAGGGGGCGCATTTACACACTTTGCGTAATTCACAGAATTAGAGAGTAGATGAACAGATTACAGAACATCATGCGCAAAGCATTGCTTGTGGAAAACTTTAATAAGTAGTATGGGAAGATTGTTTCTTCAATCATGTATTCAAACGTGCTATGATGACAAATGGAAACAAGGAGATGTCTTAGTAAGGCTGTTTTATCTAAACAGAGAAAATGCTCCGAGAGCAGTGTAAGTATATCGACTAAATCATAAGATGAGACGAGGATCTCTCTCGGTAAAAAATTGTACGTTGATTTGGTAAAAAAGGTACGTTATTTGGTAAAAAATCTGAAAAAATTGGACGGACATGTGATAGAGCGCGATCCGCCACACGTGTTCCTGTTGAAGGTGTTACGGAAATGCATAATTCGATTACTGCAGTCCATTGCATATTGAAGTGTTGCCCGCAGTTTGGATGTACCGAAAACCACAGTTTTCAAGCTTCTGCTTTCTGTTCTGCGGATGTTTCCTTATCGATACCAGCACCTCCAGATGTTCCAATATGGAAACGAGCAACCTTGGGTCGATTTCTCCTCAGATATGATGAGAATAGCAGGTGGCCACTGCGGATATTATGGATGGATAAGGCACATTTCTGCTTAACTTTGTTTGGAAACTCTAAGAACTGCGTTCACTGGGCTGAAAAAATCCTCGTAGGGCACCAGAGCTTTTACACGAAGCTAAAGTGACTATGTGGTGTGACATCCTAAGCACATTTGTTTTCGGTTCGCACTTCTTTAAAGAGGTCACTTCCAGAGGTATGAAAGTGTGTTCCGTCACAAGTGCTCGGCGTACAACAACGTTGCAGAATCACGTAATTTCAGAATTGCAGCAGCGAAATATCGTTAATGACATTGTAAGGATACAAGATGGTGCTATTCCATATGCACCACCTGTGTTCGGCAAATGCTGCAGCAGCACTTAGGATATAGAGTCATCTCCCGTAACGTTTCAGTTACAGTTCAGTGCAAGTGACCAGATTTCCGCAGTGAGGTCAGAAGATCTGGCCACCGCGACGCTGCAGATGCTGGATTTCTTATTCTGGAGTAGTCTGATATTTAAGGTGTTCACATCAAATCCACGAATTGTCGAAATCGTCAGAATTGAAAGGTGTCATAAAACGTGACGTTATGCAGATTCTTCCAGCCATATTAGTTCGTTACTATTGTCAAGCATCTCCCGCATACAATGCGTTATCGTCTGAGAAGGCGGGTACTCTGTAAACTTATAATTCTAAAAGTTTTTTCCCTTTCTTGTGTAGTCATTGTTCTTTTAAATGCTGTTCTTAGCAAATATTTTATGCCGGCAGTTTTCGTCATGCTTGTATAGTTCTTAACTCCATTTATGATTTTCCAATGGCAAATCAATTTAAGGGGAAAAAAGTGAGTGTTGTGATTCGAAAATGTCGAATATTTTTCGCTGTAATCGTAACCGTGAGAGCTGTATTGTTTTAAATTATCATAACATAGTCTCGAGTGAGTACATTCAAATAACAAAATCTGAAATTTCATTTCTATTTGTTGAGCGGATAGGCCGCTAGGGGTTCATAGATCAAGGAAGTTATTTTACGAACTCCCTGTGCTTTGGTGGTAAAATTATATACATTTACCATGGAAACCGAAATGATGAAAAAATACCTTTTTTAAATACGGTTGCGAAGAAGGAAAGAAGTTCAAATTTTAAGAGAGCAAACAGATGCAAATCGCCAGATAAAAAAAGAACTTTTGTCGCTAACCGTCACTATAAAAAGTATTTCATTCGCCTTCCAATCTCAGTATAGAATCGAAGGAATAGTTTAGAATTTACTAAAACACACACACACACACACCAAAAAAAAAAAAAAATCCGATACATTTTCTTTTTTCCTCAGCCAATAGGGCGGCTCGCATGCTCTGCGTAACAGATTCAGTAAACAGACATTTGATGCATTTATTATCAATGAGAGGCACTGACAGAATGAAGTTTAGTTTGCAGGAAACAGAGCACTAATAAGATTTCTGCTTCTATCATGCACTGCCTGGCAGTGGTATTAGGATGCTGAGGGATATCAGCAACTTCAGTTCAGCACAGTCGGGCACCATGGCATTACGTTAGGTAACTGAATTTATGTTTTTTTTTATTTTCAAAATTATGTTAATAAAGTGAAGTACTGAAAAAAATTAACAATCATAATGAACAAATCGATAAAATTGATATTCTAAAACGAAGTCGATACTGAAATTATTATTGTAGTGAATCTCCAAACTGCTGATGAAATGAGTGAAAGTGACCAAAGTAAAAATACATTAGCTGTTATATCATGAAAATATTAAATATGAATAATTTAAAATACTAATTACAGTCCAATTAAATATAAACAAACAGTTAAAATACTAATGAAGCGAATGAAGCCTATCTGCATTTCACTCAGATATAAATTAAAAACTGAAGCAACAGCGAAAAAAATTGTGGTAACAAAGGAAAATGCCAGCTGCATATAAGATGTTTAGCAAAAAAAAAATTAAATAAATAAAGGTTTACTAGATGAAAAGATGCGAGACTGTTGCTGAAAAACAGCACCTTCAAATCACTGGCAAATGCATTAAGAAATAAATGAGACGTGCACTTCCATAGCTCTAGATCTACAAGATCATACAGAAAAGTGCTGTTAAGTGTGTAGTTTTATCAAAATGCTAATAATTGAGTCCAAAGTAATCGGTGTATTAGTGCAGAAGATTATTCAGGGTTCTCGAAAGTGATTTCTCGAATTTAAATCTACATAATGTTGTATACATTGAAATATTACGCAGAATTTCACACTTCGTTGGTATCTTATGTGGATTCAATGATTACAATCCACAGTTGATCTTTACTGTTAATAGATCTCTTTTCAGGCTATTTTCTTATCTGCTGTCTCAGACTCGAAAGCTGAACAAAGATCAGCAATAAAATGTAAGTGGAACAAACAACAAGGGAGACATCTGAAATATTGTGCTAAGTATATACCAAGATCAAGTATTAACAAGAATCAATATTTTCCATTGGAACGGACAATTTCCTGATTAAAATAAAAATACTGATGGAGTAATCGCTCTTAATAGTTTAACAT